GATTTGTTTTGCATATGACCTGCTCTTCGGGGAAGCTATCAAATGAGCCGTTCACTCCCTCAGCGAAATCATAGCCAATAATGCCTAATATTTTTTTGTCCGTCTCGGTTAGATCATTCTCAACAGGTCTATTACCTGTTTGTGCACGAGCAGTGCGTAATTTCGAGACCTTATCCGAGACTTTTGTTTTGATGTCCCTCCATGTCTACGCAAATAAACACTCAATAATACATTTTCGGAACGTCCATTGTTACTGAATTATGTATTTAATTAACTGTATACTTACAGTTTTCCAAGAAGCAACGTCTTTCTCCTTCCCATTTTTCGACATCGCATTGAGTTGTTGGACAAGTTCCTCCCAACTTCCTTCAAGACTCGCTCGCCCTTGCAATGACATAAATTTACCAGTTGCGACATGGGGATTAATGACAAAATAATCTACCATTGCCTCTAATTGTTCTTTTGTTGCTCGTCCCTGTCTGTTTTTTGGCTGGTGGTTGTGACCTAAAAATTTGTAATCATAAATATACGTTGTATTTTGATTTATTCAACTTCTACAAAATTTTCCCAGCATGTCCAATTGTATCATTAATTTATTTAGTATAAACCAAATTCAGTTTACTGTTACATACTTACATTTTTTGACATTTCTTCTGTCTTTAACTCGTTTCTACCAATGTAGATTGACTTTGATCTCGATTTAATTTACTTTTTACCTTTTTCTAATTGAGAAAAGTAAAAAAGTAAATTAAACCGAGATTAATCTACATTAGTAGAAATGCGTCTTACACGACGTTCACTCGCAATTCAAAACAAACATCAAAATTTAGGTTAGTTCACGGATAAGAAGAATACATTGTGAGTCCTCAAATATTCGAGCACAGTGGAATGCGTGATCTTTCATTGGTCGACAATCATAATTTTCATGATACTTTTAAGAACGCATAGATATCGATATCGACATCGTTACCGCGTCATGTAACGACTCAAACTCGCTTCCCGTAGTTACAGAATACCAATCTCCTCAGGCCGTCGGTAGCGCAAGCGACAAATCTCGGTAACGGTAACATAACGATAGCTATCGCTATCTTTTTAACGAGTTACAGAATAGGCCTGTAGTATCACTTCGTAAAGTGATATAACAATAGGGAATTTTAATCATTCTTTGCTGTAGAAAATTTCCTCTAGTTTTCTGCGCAGAATATTCGAGTTTTTCTGCGCATAATATTTGCGCATATTTTAGAGGAGGCAGAGGCATTGGGCGAGTTCAAGACGGCAAAGCGACTAGGTACGCTTGCCGAGCGATTAAACGTAATTGATTATTTCTTATAGATCCAACCAATTATATTCGATCGCTCGGCAAGCGTACCTAGCCGCTTTGCCATCTTGAACTCGCCCAAACAAGCTCCGAATAATCACTCGACCAAGGCGGACGCGTTTCGAATCGGGTGATTTCACCCTGTGACGTAATTTACAAAATTCGTGATCGGGCCTTGTTGCCTCCGCATACAGGCAGAAGTCATTAATCAAGAAGAGGAAGTGCTGTGGCTGCGGCGACAACAACGACCGGACGGAGGATGCAGAACAAATCGTGACAACCGCAGCGGGAGTGAGATCGAGAAGGATCCCTTTGGTGAGTCGAACGCTCTAAAATTGTGAAGCCGCCGATTTCGTTGTCGGAGGTTTCGTGAATTTCGTGTTACATATTCCCACGCTCGCCGAGCGAATATGTGATAGCCACAGCGAAGTCACGTTTATATCGTATTGTATTTCGTAGTGTATATCGAGGACGCGTTCCGCTTAACGTTCGTAACACTTGCGAGCATCATTTCATCTTTACCATTTTCAAATTAATCAAGAATGAGATGATGCTTGCGAGAGTTGCGAACGTTAAGTGGAATGCACCTCCCAGACAGCATAGAATATTTGTTAATATTTATTTTTTAAAATATTATACAATACATATTTCATACATATTTTATATAAGTTTATTCGCGAAATCTAATTAAAATATAGACTAAAAATTTTATGTAATATTTATGATAAATATAATAAATATTTCTAATAATTTTTTACGGGAGGGCTTCGAGATTGCATACATTGCAAATTACACACATACATCGCTAATTGGCTAATTTAAAAATAAAGTATTTTCATTGGTAGAGAATCAGCTGTTCGGGATACAACGCGCGCGCACGTAGATATTACTTATACACATCTATAAGCTATAAGTCATTATATCGTAAAGTCATGTTTTATTGCATATGAATGACACTACATGAGAAAACAATACTCGCGACACGTAAGAGAATTCCAGAAACGCGTTTGAAGATCCTACTGTCTTTATCCGAAGATCTAATTGATATGTATAAATAATACGCGTGTGTGTATGTGTCCCGAACAGCTGCTTTGGGTCTTTGTTTTGACGGTTATTTATAATTTTTAAAAAATGTCTTTATATTACTTCGAATAGTTTTGCTCTATGCGTGTGAGATTGCAATCGCCACAGTTAAATAAACAATGGAGAAGAAACTTTTATGCAAAATGTTAATACTTTTTCTGGTAAAGTAGAACATTTTCCGTGAAGAGAAAAAGAATGTAACAGGGTGGCTCACGTAAAGTGTTACAAGCTAACTCTAAAAATATTTGTCCTGTCAAATAATTGTTCATGGAAAGTTTCATATATTCGAGGGGCCTTTCTAACTAACTACGTAAACAAAAATCCATCCTCGTCCCCTTTGAAGAGGGACAATGCTTACTTTTCCTCCACTATCGCTCAACGCTCGACGGCCGACTCGGCCGTCAGAGCTGCTAGGCCCGCCAGATTCCGGCTCGTACTACTAGTTGGTAGCGCATGGTGGGGGTAACTACTGATAGCTATAGCTATGACCCACCGCGCTCGGTCAGAGTTGAGCGATACAAGATAGAAAGAGTATCCAAGAGGTATAAGATAGAAGAGTACCTACTATCTCTAGCTTAATCCTCCGCGTACGCTTATTTCAAGCGGTCGAAAAGATTTTTTCGACAATTTCGGCTGCTCGGCAATCGGCGTGTACGATGAGAGGCAAAGTCATTCTACGTAATACATAATTTTTAAGAAATGTAGTAATAATATATTTTTCTTGTTAATCCCGAATAGTATAAATTATTTCAAAACACACACACACACACTATACTCTCTCTCTCTCTCTTTACGAGATATTAATTATTAACAATTGTCCATAAGCGCTATATATCGTGTTTATAAACGTGATTTGCAAAAGTAAATGTATTAGGCAAGAAAAGAAATAATTTTTTTCATATTAATTATTAAATAATATAATAATATGGTTCAATAAATTAAAAATAATTGATATAATAGAAAGACTACGAGCCACATAATATGTATTAATCGATGACACCTCAAGATAACAAACAAGAACATAATATATCAAACGAACATTATATATTTTTCCTTACGCGTGCACGTAATGTGCCCTACACCTTAACGCTTTTGCGTATGGTAAATAAACAATACCTCAAGCCGTTAAGTTATTTCTCTAATCCCACTCTTCTGGGCAAAAACGTTGCTGTATAGGGCACATTACGACGAGCACTTGTAATGAAAAATTCTATGTGTAACTCATATGCTAAGTTGTTTATTGTGCGGCACGGGCGCGGGGGAGCGTGTAATAAACAACTTACCATACATGTTACACAATGTACTATTTCTTCACCCGTGTACGTAATGTGCCCTACACCTGATGTTGGTCAGGTGATATTGGCTCGCGAATAAATGTCTGCTTTGTGATTTGTGATGCAATTAATGTAAGTAAATCTTCAAATTGTGTTTTGCTCATTCTACAATAATTTGAAAATAAATCTACATTCCTTAATAGAATAGGAATCGTTGTATAATAAGCTCCATAAGTCTTCAGTTGACTAAGAAATTTTGATGTCCAAAATCTTTTTTTCTTATACTTTCTATTTTTAGAAATTAATAATGTTACAACTAACAATCTTAATTGTAGTTGTACTATTTGTGCTATTGCAGGCAGCAAAAGATAATAATTTATAGGCATTTCAACTTTCGTTGAAAATAAAATTATGTTAAACTGAAGTTTTAACCGTTATTTACCTAATATAAACAAACAAATTTGATTTAGTGCATAATAACAAAATTATAATGTATATGTAAGAAATTAATTTAATACATACTTGCTTTTTCTCTTTCTCTTTCATTCTTTCTATCTATAAACAGAGAGGTTCTCACACATGAAAAACTCTGGGCTCAGATTGTTCAAAATTATCCTCGGATGAGGAAAATAACCTCTTCATTTCAATTTTCGTTGAAAACAAAATTATGTTAAACTGAAGTTTTAACCGTTATTTACCTAATATAAACAAACAAATTTGATTCAGTGCATAATAACAAAATTATAATGTATATGTAAGAAATTAATTTAATATATGTATATATAATGTATCCTAGTAAAGACTCGATCATGGCTCTTCAATAATTTCTTCTCATATTTATATATATATTTATATATATATGTATTTATGTATTGTCCATCACTGGCTACTACTTTTTCCCATCGCTCAGGCAATTTCCGAATTCCATCTCGGCATCTTTTGGAAAACGGACCGAACTAATTTGTACTCCTATATATAGGGTGTCCCATTTTAAAACTTCCACGCGATTATCTCAGAAAGAAGGTATTTATCGAAAAAATGTTTCAGACAAAAGTTGTTTGACTCGAAGGGGGACATAAGATGATGCCATCGATTTGGGACACCAACCCCTCGCCCGACCTCACTTTGGGGGAGTTCCGTGCGGGACCGGAGTTCCCGCTCCAGCCCCGCTCTCCCCCTGCCTCCCTCCGAGGAGCACGTCGCCACCGGGAGCAACTAATGTCGCCCCCGGGCACAGGGTCATCGACCCCTAGCAGCGGCGCGTCCCCCGGCTCTCCTACGATCCCGCGGTGGGCAACGGCCACGTCTACCGCGGCCATCTCCCCTCACAGGGCTCTCATCCCGCGAGAGAGGGGACGGATCCCCTCTTTCACTGGCTCGGCCTCCTCCTTCGCGACCATTACTTGCTCGCAGTAGGAGGAGACCGCGCACAACTTATCTTCGCTGTCCAGCATGGCTTTCACCACGCCGAACAGCGACAAGTCCCCTCCTATCTTATCTATCAGGACACCCAGCTGCACCTCCCACGCCGGACAGAACTCCAGCGTGTGTTGCGGGATGTCCTTCGCCTCGCAGTAGCCGCAACGCGCGTCGCGAGTTTTTCCTATGCGCCACAGGTACTCACCGAAGCACCCATGCCCGGTGAATAACTGTGTCATCCTGTAAGACAGGCCCACTCTTTCGCGAGCGAGCCGACAGCCTGCATGACCCTCTTGGTCGAGAGGACCGGGTCCTCGCGCAGACTATCCGTCTACTTTTCGAAGATCCGATCCCTCACGACCCCCCTCCAAGCCGCGCGCATGAGAGGAGTGACCACCCTCCCCTCATGACGAACTGCAGCCACCATCCGGTGAATATCCGCTCGGCCCGCGGTCAGGAGGAACTAATACGTAGCCTAAAGGATCAGAAAGAGCTGGAAACTGATTCATATATTCAGAGCAAGACTGATCATTATTTTGAAAGGTTTTTAACCGTTTTTTCGAAGTCAAAGACTAGTTTTCAGTCACTACGTGCCGTGGTTTACAATTATTTTTTAACCATATTACATAATCTTCGTAATTATCTTTGTTATTTTCTTTATCTACGAAAACAAATAAAAACTATATGAAAAGTTTCTCTATTTACAGTTCTGTAAATATTAATGTTCATTTATTATTAATTAATATAAATATTATTGAGGCTCTTCTTAATTTATTGTAATCATATTGAATTATCATCAGATAAGATCATTCAAACAATGTTGAAAAAATGTTTACACAATTTGTTGCTTTTTATATTACAATTCAATATAGTTTTATTAAATAAAAAAACTTTATTACGCTTCTCACAAAACTGTGACTTATCATCAGTCTCACAATTAGTCACAACAGCAAAATCTGCAGCGCAGCTTTCATATTCATCAATAAGCCAGCTTTAATGAGTTTTCGCCGTGTATAATAATATTTTGTCAAAATTTTTCCTCTACCTTGTAATTCGCCTTTTTATTTTTAATATACACTCTGTAACATGAAATAATTGAAATGGTTGTAAATCAATATAATTTAAACTGATCATAAGTTACGTATGTACAATAATTTATATAACAGCAAGATCAATAAAAAATTTACAATTATTGTTAGAGTATATTAAATTATAATACATAATAAAGAGATACACAATTTTTCCTTAGAATTCTTATATAAATTACGATACTTTTTAGAAATATTGAGAAAGCAGTCTATGCCTTCTTTCAGAATTTTTTATATGTATGTGAATTTTAAATCCTGAAATATGTAAACTTATCTTGTCTTCAGTGGGAAATACTTTTATTACGTTATCACTCAAAAAAGATGCCCTTTGGCTGCATATGGTGTTGGTTTACATTAGGCGACAGCTCATTACTAACTATCATTTTTGCTAATTTATTTCGTAAATCATTATTTAATCTTCCTTCATTTTTATACAGGGTTTCCCGGATTAAATGGCCAAATTTGAAATACGTATTTAGGACCTCAAAACAAAGAACGACCTACGTCTTTTAAAACAAAGCAAAAAGCGACATTTCGACATTATAATATTCCTACAGTTTAGTAACTTAACAACAAACATATATAAAGGGTATATAAGAGTGTGTAAATATTAAAAATAACCGTTATTTTAGTAACATCTAATCAATAGAACCAAAAAACAATCGGCTGTCTAACCGTATTGGTGAGCAATAACTATTGCCAAGATGTCTTTTATTGTTTCCACATAAATTAATACTTAGTCAATAGCATTGCGAATTAATATCGATCTAACTCCACAATTATTTTATGTTAAAATCACACGTAAAAATTTTCTGTAAAATACGCATCTGAAGAGGACCTTATACAAGGTGAAACATGTAATGTTTTTTAATATTATATATTAATTAAAATGGCAATTATATTATTTAAATGAATAACGGTTATTTTTAATACTTAGACTCTTATATGACCTTTATTTTATATATGTTTGTTGTTGAATATTAAGAGTCCTTTACTAATTTATTGTCAGTAACTTAATAAGTCAATATTTCTTGAACGAAGAGTTTATGAGAATTCTTTGAAAGGAAATTTTTCTTTATTTTGAGGTCCTAAATACGTACTTCAAATTTGGCCATTTAACTCGGGAACACCCTGTATAAACTCAGCAGCAATTGGCCGTTTTCAGATTTTTTAAATATGGATTTCACATCTTGCAATAATAGAATAAATATAATATTTAATATTCACTACAAATTATTAAAAAATTCTTTATAAAACAATTTATTATTTACATATTCATTATCAGTTGCATATTGCTTTATTTCTACCGCATTATTTGTTGAGAATTTAACTAAAAGCAAAGTATAATACATTAACAGAAAATTAATATAAAAATAAAATAAAGATGGAAATCTCTCGATGCCTTTAACGTTTTAGCTAGATCTTTAAGTGCGAAAAGATTTTTCGGCTCGCAGTTTAAAGAACTGCATAAGTACTATATAAAGTCACACAGAATTTACAATACAAGCATTTGATCCAGCTCGACCATTTGACTTACAATTAAACGTATTGATTTCCATTAGTTGTATTCTCACATGTATGATCCTATAATATTTAATAAAATAAAAGTTAAAATTTTTTTAATTTATAAATAAAACTAAATATAGATATCGTTGATTTTATATTTACTAAATGTAAATTATTATAAGCAAACGATCAAGATTAATAACATTTTTACTATTATATCCTGTATTCGTAGATGTAGAAGATGCAGATGGTGAAATTGGACAGATATTTTCTAAAAGTTTGTCTTCGTTATATTGCTGTTGTATTGCAGATGATGTTCCTACTGAATGTTGTTGCTGTATTTTTTGTTTTTTTGGATTTGTGTGCAATATCCGATTCTTCTTGCCGTGTGGCTTGCTGTTTATCATTTGAATTAATATCTGTGGATTGTTGTATATGCTAAAACATTAATACCAAGAATAATTAAAGAAGACAGAAAGAAAAGCTCATAATAGTGTTACGTCCAAGCCTCAGGATTTTTCTTTATTTCATGGGAAGTTCTAGGTTAAGGAGGAGGGCTCGGAAGAACGTAACTGACACCGGTCTGTCTCCCGATCGTCTCGCCCTGCGGAGGGTCACGAGAGACAGTCGGACGCACTCAAAAAGGGCACGGAATTAGGTCAGTGTGCCATACGACTCACTATGACACTTACAGTGGCGTAACTTCAAAATTATGCCCGGGGGCATAACCTCTTGAAGGGCCTCCCCCATGCGGAAGGTTGTTTAACCGAAAAAAAAAGGTTTTTTTAACCCTTTAAAGGCGTTTATACATTTAAAAACGTTTTTTTTTTTTTTTTTTACGTTTTAACACATTCTCTCCCCATTGGGCCTGTTATTGAAGAAAGTAGTTATAATACATTTTCCTTAATAATTCTATATTACTACAATAACAGAGTATCAGAAACAGAGCTATATGTAAAGTGCAACTGCAATACAAATTTAGAAATACGTAATTTTATTTTTAATTTAACTTTCAAATAATTAGAGAGAGAGAGAGAGGGAGAGAGTTAAATAATTATATACATATATTTCAAAAATGATAATATCAATAGACAAAATAAGATCTTTGCTTTAAGTTATATCAAATAATTTCTGATAAAATTTTAGCGTTGACTGTAAAAATGGAATATCATGTTAAGTTTTTGAGAAAACCTCTCAATCAAAATTACTAAAATAGGCGTTTTTAATATTTTTGCGTTAGTTATATCTGTCGGTATAGAGATGTATTATACTAAAAACGACTTATATAATATCAAGGCAAATCGTTATTTAGACAACGTAATTAAAAATAAAATTAAATTTTAAAGGCCCCAACGACCCTTGGGCCCGGGGCCGTTGCCTCCTCTGTCCCCCTGTAGTTACGCCGCTGGACACTTATGCCGAGCCGTACGCCCGTCGGTCTTTTTAATTTAGGCCAAGGAACTCAATCCTTATAGCCTGGGATATGGACCGAGTGCGATCTCGAGGAAAACGATTGGGAATGCGGGGAAGGTTCGTTTAAATTAAATTAAATCATAATCTTTAACGTAAAAAGAACATTATCGGAATATTATTTATTAAATGATAAAAAATGATTACAATTAGATTAAGCAATTTACATAGATTAATGATACAATCAATAAACATAATTCTTTGGTAACAATTCTAATTCATACGGGTGTGTATATATGTGTGTGTGTGTGTGTGTGTGTGTGCGTGCGTGCGTGCGTGCGTGCGTGCGTGTGCGTGCGTGCGTGCGTGCGTGCGTGCGTGCGTGCGTGCGTGCGTGTGTGTGTGTGTTGTCCATACGCACAACAATTAGGGGATCACTTTAAAACTTACAAATTTTGTCGATATTTAAGGAACTGTATCTCTGCTCCAGAGATCGTAGGACAATTTTTCTGGTTGCGTTTTAAAGGGTGAAACTTCTTCTTTAAAACAGTTAATATAATATTTGTCGTCCCATCAAATAGGACTTTTTCACGAAGACCAGAAGTAGGTCGTGTTAAAATTCTAAAAATTTCGCGACTTTCCAAATTTTCACGGGCAAAATATGAACAGACCGAAAATTCTTATTATATGTATGTTTTAAAGTTTGAAATGTTTCCTTTAAAACGAGACCACGATCATTACTCTAGCATGTCTAGAAGCTGAGTTATCAGCTTCCAAAGAGAACCTTACATTTTGCAAGATTTTGGGTATTATCGCTAGCATTCCCGTTACCCGATGTGCACCACAGGGAGGTTGCTCGGTCGGAATTTGCACATCATGTGTGTGTGTGGGGGGGGGAAGGGCGGTGGCATGTGTGGCGTGTATGTGCGTGCACATCATGTGTGTGTGTGGGTGTGGGTGAGCGGGTGGGTGGGTATCGATGTATTATATCGATGTTAAACTATATTAAAATCTGAAACTAATAATTCTTCTTATTGCGAAAAATATTACGTCGGCCGGGAGTCGAACCCGGATCGCTTGCTTCACGCGTAAACGTCCTAATTAGATTATCAATTAAACTACCGAGTCAATCCATGATATCCATGATATATTTGTCACATCGTGTTACTTCGGATTTCGTACTTATTTTTAATTGACGCGATAAATTAATCACTCCCTAACCAAATAAATATGTA